TGTGTGGTAGGTGTTGCAGGGCCCCAACTGTAAGCTGCGGAGCAACACGAACAGGTACAAACCGTGATGTAGGCAAAGTTCTGCAAAGCAGCCCGCGGGCAAACTTGGACCATGGGCTAACTGCCTCCTAGCCACGCATTCACCTCAAAAGAGTAAGAAGAGCAGCGGAATCCTAGAGCCTGTCATGCATCGTACAGCCTCCCATGCCGAAGTGCACGTACCAGTGAGCCATCCTGTTTCTGCAGCAGATGGACTCTCTGAATCAAAGAACTGTCAAATCCATATGTTCCCTGCATCCCGTGATCTGCTGTCCCATAACCAAGAGACTTTCGTTGTTCCTCAGCCCTCAGCCGCCCTTGGTTGTCCCCATCCAAGCACTGAAGGCCCGGCGCCAGCGCGACGAGCTCCGCGCTTCCACCTCCGCAAGCACCGGGCGGCCTTCAAGCGCAGGCCTTCACCATGAGATGAGCTGCAGTCTAAACTTCTTAGAGGGGGCACATGGGCCTGCACAGGAGTATCATCATTAGGGGTTACTAAGGGGGGATAATATGAGTAATATAGCTCATATAGGGTTTAGTGTGTAGGGACCTACAAAATCAAAATGGAAACTGGGTGGTTAGATGATGTCCCAACTTCATGTTTTCCGGGTTGTAGACCCTGAGGATTCGGTTGTGAGTTTTTTAGGAAAAAAAGCTATACTGCGTAGTGTATCTTCAACAGGTGAGCAATGAGGGGCAATCTGGCCCTGGTGAAGGTATGGTTTTAGGGGTTTAGGGTTTGGGGTTTATGTGCTCCGGCGTTGTTCTAGAAGTTTGCCGAAAGCACTCATGTTGGAGGACCATCACGTCATGCGTAGAAGCATAGAGAGCCTGTTGGCGGGGGAGAAGGGGGCAAGGAAAGCAATGGGGGAGAAAGTTCAGATTCATATTTTCATACCGCTAGGCAAGGCAACTTACATCACCTCTCCAAATTATGACACCAAAGCCATTGCGCATATTGTGCACTCACATAAGTGTGCTGGCTGGGGAAGCACCCTGCTTACCATTGGTGCATAAAGAGCCGTGCATCTTTGCTGAGGCTATCCACTTCGGAGGGGTCGGGAATTGTGCCTTTACAGACCACTTTTCTACCTAAACCACGTGATCTTGGCCAAATGACTTCACATGTTGATTTATCCGGCACTTCTGACGTTGGAAAGCTGTTCGTACCTACCCACTGTCATTTCTGCCGTTCCATCATGTTCCATCATCATTTGATTTCTGGAAAATTTGCTAGACAGTAAAAGGAACGAGGATGTTGCTGGGATCCATCCTCACTCTGAAGAATGACCGGGCATCAGGTTTCGACCTTGGCGTCGGCATGGGTGTGGTTCGCGCCTCCAAGGCGTTCACTGCGACCTCTGCTGGGGCCCCCAGGAAAGAAGGTAAAAGATCATGGACCCAGTTTCTGCATTTGATTGTTTCTGTTAGTTGCCTTGCGAAATTGCGAGAAGTGGCGTGGCTAATTCAATGAAAAACAGTACGTTTGTAACAGGCTGCGGCGACCATTTGGGCGACACATGCTTGTAACAATTTCCAGGCTTGCGACAAGCACCTTTGCAAAGTTCTTTGGCGGGGCATGCCCCTACCACGCATTGGTAACAAAGGTATGTGATGACAGGCCACAGCAGAGGGATATGTGACAGGGGGTGCGCGGGCCCGTGACAAAACGGGTCTTTGATCAGCAGCCACATGAGAACAACGCACACAGTCCAAACCATTGGCTTCGTGGAAGTTCCTTGCAACTGCAGGCACTTCACCATCTCTGCACTTCTGGGCTTCAAGATTTCATATCCAGACGAGGAAAAGCGCCAAGTTTTTTTTCGTCCGAAAAGCAGGTCGCACCAAACCTAGCCGATTCTTCCATTATGGCGGGTTTGATCAATGCCTGTGGGAGCTAAAAGAGCGCAGTTGCAATTGTCAGTTTGGAGGTGCTAGCTGGTGCTCAAAGTGTGGCCCAGGCAACTTCGGACACGCGGTCGCGGGCTTCTCTGGACTCACCCATGGGTGGACACATGCTAGGACAGGCTGCAAGGGTCTGATTGTTTCCTCAGATGAGCAGGTCTGCATTTCAGGCAGCAGGGACAGCTGAGCATCAGTAGCAGTTGAACCCTTCAGAACACCCTTGAGGCCCTCCTCTACAAGCAGCATGGTTTGGGTCTCTCAAGCCACACAACGCGGTACGGGGCTCACACTCAATAGTCGAGCCACAGGCTACCAAAACAGGATCTTGTCCCGGATTTCCCGTGCATGGAACCTGGTGATGATGATGATGATGATGCCTCAAACGAGCTGACAGGAATCTTGTAGGCTCTCATATTGTTGTCCTTGGGTCCTCAGGTAGTGTTTGCGAAAAACAATCAAAAAACAACTTTTTCATGCTAGGTATATCAGATCCTGGAAGCTCTGGAGCATTTAAGAAATTTCTCGCCCTGCAGGAACGGCGAACAGCAGCAGCGACTTGACAGCAGTTTGAGAATCCTCCGCCCCCACAGAAGTCGGGACTTTTTGGTATCGCAGTAAACATTTGGGCGGTTGGGGCTTAAACCCGCTAGTGTACTGTACCTTTATGCCCAGTCATAAGGTCTAATTATGCGGCGAAGGATGTAGATATCCTTTTTTTTTAGTGTCTCTACGATTCATTTCAAGTGATGCCTCCTACTTACCGTCATGTTTAAGGCTTTTGTTTTAGGGGCCTTATGCTTAGGCCAATAGTCTCATCTGATGAAGAGAGAGTTCTTGTTGGTTGCTCTGTTCTCTTTCTCCTTTGGGTAGCTTAATGTTGGGTAAGCTTAATGTTGTATAGCTGGGTTGAGTAGTAATCCAAGTGCTGGAAGGTCCTAAGCATATTTTACTACTTGGAATGTCAGCAGGGCTTAAGTAGCAAGTAGGTTAATATCCTCTATAAGCCATATTGGACCCCTGGTAATCCCAATTATTAGCCTACTTTCTGAGTCCCCTAACCCTCCAAGTAGCACCTCTCTCGCTGCGATTCTCTCGGATCATCCCCCAGTCATTGATGGCCTCGAGAATTGAAGCCCTCAACCCTTCAGCCGCTGGTTATGCAACTAAAGGCTGCAAATTGCTGCTTCAAGAAAATGATAGGGCCCTTACATCGATGGACCTCTCAAGGGTCACTTACCACATACATGTATTGCTGCGGCATAAGAGTTTGAGGTTCGGATCCTGGCGCTTTCTTCGGAGGACCCGATCCTGAAGCCTGTGAGTGTTTGCGACAGGGGGAGGTGCAGTCTTGGTGTTGTATTTTGGATGCCGACATGCACTTGATTTCTTTTGGTTACAGTGATACGAAAGACAGATTCAATTCAAGGGCCTGTCCACATTGGGGGTCCGAGGCTGGTATACAACCGCTCTGCCTCGAACTCTTCTTGATGTGCATAGCCGCGCATTTGTTCCTTGGATTTGTGGAGTCTGCGGGTCCAACTAATACAGGCCTTAGAGATTTGAGGGTTGCACAAGGGCCGCTCGGGCACCAATAGTTCTAGGCATCATCACAACATTACTTACAACTGACTTTAATTACTTACTGAGCTAAAGAGCCTGGTGGCGCAATGGCCCTTCCCAACATGTTTGCTCCAGTGCAGGAACGAGGTCGACCTCCGAGCTACGAAGCTCCCCTAAGACGCACCTGATGCAGGCTTGAGGGTTGCCTGTCAGGAAACTCTTTCGTGCAGCTGCTGCAAGCGATACATGGGCAGCCTGAGGGTTGTTCAGATCCTGCCGGTGGTTTTAAGACATTTGCTGCATCGCGCCGCCGTGTGTTTGCTTCGGGCACTAGAGCCTGGGTTAATTCAGCCTATCTGCTTGCATGTGCGCAGGAAGCAATCTGCTCAACACTTGCTGGCTTTGCTTTCTGCGACAGTGTGACTTGAGAAGGAGAAACTGCTCGCAGACAACTTAAAGTGTGACAGATATGCAACCTCCAACGTGTAAAGCGGCCATGCTTGGAGCTTTTTGCAGGGTGTCGTTAAAGTGCTGTCGCCCAATTCCTTTATGGCCGCAGCCTCAGCTGTCTTCTGTGGAAGCCCGCTCTGGAGGAGGGCTTCTTGAAGTCGGGTGCTAAAGTTCTTTCAGCCTCACGTGTTTCCTGTCTGTTCAGCTTTCACGCTTGGATTCTACTTGACTGCGGATCGGCCGGGTCACTGGAAGTTATTATATGACGGAAGCTTGAAAGCATACGTGGCAGCAGCTCTCGTGTGTCTCCACTGGATACACCTGAGCTTGTTTAGTGATCTCAAGCCGGCGTGCGGACATTAGTCTAGATATGGGAAGGCCTTGCCTGAGCAGCCGCAGCATAAGACAACCAGCAGGAGACGCATGGGCATCCTGTGTCTTGGTCTTGTACCAGCAGTCATGACAGGTAGTGGCACGAGCAATCGCCGACCAACGATGAAGATCCTGTAAGATTCTGGCCTTGATCAGTGTGTATGTTGTACTCGAACAGAGCACGAGGATCCTTTTTTTTGTTGGGGGATGGCTCCCCTTACAGCAAGCGCCCCTGAACCGCCCATACTCCCCAAGGCTGTAGTGGTTTCATTCGGGGAAATCCCATGGAAGCCCTGACCGACACCTTGGCGGCTGCGGGGCTTGTCATCCAAAGAGTCGGCCGCGCAGGCTGGGAGCTGAAGTGATTGCTTCAGCGGCAGCGGTTACTAAAAGAAGATACCAATGCTTGTCCAATCATGCGCAGCGCTTTAAGGATGTTTAAGCCTGTAATACCCGACCCCCAGCAGAAGCTGTTGATTGCTGAAGTTGTAAACCTTACCCAGATGTGTAATCACCGCTGTAGTGGGATCAAGTGTGGGAGCGCTTTTCTCGGAGATTTCAACTTCCGGATCCCTGCTGCAAATCCGCGATTCTGCCATGAGTGTGCTGCAGCTGCTAGCGGCACTCTGGGTTGGCACGCAAGCGCTGGACAATGGCCTTGCTCGAACGCCACAGATGGGCTATAATTCCTGGTATGACTTGGAGTGCTCTGAATCTATGAATGAGAGCACACTGAGGCAGATTGCCGATGCCATGGTGGACACAGGTCTCCGAGACCTGGGTTACAATTACTTGAACTTGGACGACTGCTGGGCCAAGGGACGGCATGCGAATGGCACGGTTTTTGCAGATCCGGCTAAGTTTCCTAGCAGCACATTGAAGCCTCTAGCAGACTACGTCCACAGCAAGGGCCTACGCTTCGGCACTTACACAGATACTTGGGCATTTCTTTAGACAATCCTCCTTCCGGGGTTGGACGGCAACTTTCGAGACTTTTGCGTCCTGCCTTCGTGCTAAGGCCACACCAAAGACCATCCAATCCAGGTTTTCAGATTGTTCCAGCAATTCCAAGGACAGAGGCACTGCAACGTGCGCAGGCCGCCCCGGTGCCTCCAACTATGAGAAGATTGATGCTGAGACCTATGCTGAATCTGGGCCGCACCTCTTGTCTCTTGTGCCAGTTTGAACGAACTAGATGAGGCGTTGTGTATGCAGCCAAAACTTAGCTAAGGAATGGGGCGTTGACTATCTCAAGGAGGATTCCTGTAACGCGCCCTCAGATCACGACACAGCCTTCCAGCAGTATGGTCGCATGCGTGATGCGCTCAACGCAACAGGGAGGCCGATCCTTTTTAGCCTCTGCGGCTGGAGCGCCTGGTATGCACCCGTGGGCAAGAGCCTGGGCAACAGCTGGCGGATAGGCCCTGATGACACAGACTGGTCGGGCGTTCTGAAAAATATCGATGCAATGAGACTCGGCGTGCTTAAGCAGGCCAGATTGTACTCACACATTCGCCCTGAATGAACCTAGCGTTGTTTTTGTTTGCCTTTGGTGCGGAGAGTGCTTGACCAAAGGAGTGGTCTGGACAAATTTGCGGGCCCAGGTGGTTGGAACGATCCCTGTCTCCTGCTCAGCAGGCAGTGGACAGGGACAAGCAGGGTCTCAGAGTTGCAGACGCGAGCGCAGTTCTCCATGTGGTCGGTCTTGGCTGCACCACTGTTGATCAGCGGTAGCATCTTGAACATGTCCACGGATACTTTGACAACTTACAGCAACAGGGAGGCAGCTAAGTTGGAAAATCTCCCTCAAGCACCCCCTCGGCTTCCCATTTAGGGCCTCCATTTCCTAGAAGCTGAGATTGAAAAGCCCGCAGGTTATTGCAGTAAGCCAAGATACGTTGGGCATACCGGGACGACGCCTCTATGGCAGCTCCATGGCAGATGGGCGGTCCACAACTAACATTTGGGGGCGCCAGCTATCGAATGGTGCTGCCTCCCTCGTATTTCTGAACGTGGGCCCCCAGCCTGAAACCTTGACCTGTGATCATGCCTGTTTCGCCTCAATGGGGTTTGCTGCCACAGATCATCTGAAAGTCCGCGACTTGTGGTCAAAGCAGCAGCTGCCCGACGTCACGGCTTCAACGCTAACGGCAAACTTGCCGCCCAATGGTGGACACCTCATGGTGTCTGTTCAGAAAGAGTCAGCACAGGAGAACCAACTCCTGGTGTGAACAAGGCAGGCCACTGCAAGATGCTCCAAGGCGTGCCTTGTGAGAGGCGCCGCTCGAAGCGTGCTGAAGCAAGGCTCGTCACGTCATGGAGAACCTCCACAAGTGAGGCTGAGGAAGTGCGTGGAAGCAGATTCCTTTCTCGCCAGCTCCGCAAAAAGGATCCCAAATGCGCCTGCATCGTCTTCTCCCTCCCTCCCTCCCTCCCTCCCTCCCTCTCTCTCCCTCTCTCTCTCTCTCTCCCTCCCTCCTCTCNNCTCTCTCTCTCTGTCTGTCTCTCTTCCCATCTCCATCTCTGAGTGAATTGCTTCCCATCTGATCGCATGTGCTTCACGCCTGCCTGTCAAGGCCGGGGCCTTGTAGCAAGCCGGCACTTCAACTGCGGGGACGCGCGGATGCAACACACGAGTTGGAGCATCATCTCTAGGATTGCTACCTGGAAAACTCGTTAGAGAAGCTTACCATTAAAGCTAAAACGGAAAACTTTATACCTTTTCTCGTGTTCACAATATGGTGGGGCCTCGTTGTTGGCCAAGCCCGACAGAGTAGTTTGGTTCATGAAGACCCTGGTTGTTCTGTGGTGACCGTACTCCACAAGATACCATCTCACAACTCAGGCGAATTGCTTGCCAAGGTTAGAGCATGGATAGCACTGTGGCAGAGCTCTCGGGAGAAATGTGAATCGCTGGCAGAGTATGTCATCGGGAGGGTGAGATTGCTGAATGGTCTTGTTGACTGCAGAACCCACGAAACTGCTAGCTGGGAACCACCTCCGGCTGCTTTCTGCGTCCCTTTGCAAGCAAAGCCCGCTTGCATACCTTTTGCGTGCACGTCGGGTCAGCAGCTGAGGAGGTTTTATGGCAAGAATGTGGCCTGCGAGCAAGAACGCCTGAGCGATTGGCCAAAGCTGTCATTGAGGATGGCGAGGCTCGACAATTGTAGTAGAGTCCTGTGCTGTAGAAGGGGCCCCTGTCAAAGCAGTTGCAGACAGTATAGTGCGAATAGTGCAGAGTGAGGTTTGCCATGTCCGCGCAGCATCACTGCACACCGTGCCCAAAAATCATTCTGCCATCATGCAGTTTCTCATTTGTTCATGCCCCTGCATCGAGATGCGGGCGAAGATTGCTCACCTCTACACCGGGCCACTATGTCACTTGCAAGGCTGGGAATACAGTGACTTTCGCCTGCTTTGAGATGTGACTGGCCGTAGGACAACTCAGAAATGACAAGCGGATCCCTGTGCGGAAGTGGGCTATTCGAACGGCTTAGCACGTGTCTCTTGCTCTGCAGGTTGGGATGGCGCTCTGCCGGAAGGGATCTCGGATGAGGCCAGTCTGAGGATTTTTCTTGTGTGCTTCGGACAGCTCAAACTGCCCTGTCGAGAGACAGGGCTATGTTGTGGTTTTCCTACATGTACCATGTTTATGCCAGGAGTGGGCAGATGTGTCTCTTGGATGCAGTTTGCAAAGTTCGTGCAGGGCCCCAGTAGATGATAGCCGGCTGCAATTCTGATCGTCTCGACCACTTTTCCAAATGGTGCCCGCACAAAATGTGATCAAGGTATTCAAAAGTCCGCTTCAACTGCTTCGAGTCTGAGGGCAGCTGCCTCCTGCCCATCATGGCCCTGTTCAACCACAGCTGTGCACCCAACGCAGCCATCACTCGGCTGGGGACACTTGAGGCACCTTGGCCACAATCAGCTTATCTTCCGGCGGACCATTTGAATGGCATTAACCATTGCTGGGACAATCACGACAGCGACAACAACAACAAAGACAGGACAGTCCAAGCAAGAAGCCGCAAGAGTTTCTCAGCATCAGATCCTGACCAGAAGATGATGGCGTTTTTTTTTTCTCGCCCGAAGGTTCTGGCAGTAAGTGACAGTATGTGCCTTGCTTAGGCATGCAGCTTCGCGATGATTGCAGTGTCAGAGAACGGGATCCCACCAGGGACAGAGTGGCTTGGATGGCAGGGTTTTCTGGATTCATTGTTGCTTTAGGGTTCGCTGCCGCTACTGCTAGCCTCGATTTTGGCACAGGAGGATGTTGTAGGAGCGAAGCCCTGACCCCACCGGAGGATTGCGTACAGCTACAATTCAGACTGCTTGTTTGCGGCTTGGCTACATCATGTCTGGGTCTGAGGGTACGTGAGGCTTCCGAACAATGCGCTGTTGAAGCGTCCGTTTCTGCAAATTCAGAGATAGCAGTCGTGAAGCCCGGAAACTACTTTGCTCGTTGATGGTTCAGAGACCAAGCCATGCCACGCCCGCATGAGTCCCTGCAAGAGCCCGCTGTTGAGGATTCTTTCCAACAGCGACAGCAGCGCATGATGAGCAACTGGAGCTTTATCTGTCGGTGCTTGCGATGCGCCGAGGAGAAGCGTGCAAGTGTGAAGCTCTTAGCGAGCTCCTACTCTTTCAGCTCATGTGGTACTGTCTTTAACTTGCCTTTGTGGAGTCCAGGACTGTGAAGTATGCAAGCAACAGAAGGCAATCTCTTTGTGCTGTTTCCGAGTGCTTGTTAGGAAGGGGTGGGTCGTCGTAAAGCGCTTCATGACACATGGACTGGACATAGACTTGCGGGGTGTTCTGGAGCATGGGAGTGGTTTCAGACTTGCAGACTTGAGAGCTGTACGATAAAGTCACTACGGCCTGTGTTTCCTTAGGCCCACGGTCTTTGCAACGAAAGGAGGAGCACCTGGAAGAGCAGTCTGACGAAGAGGAGCACGAGGGCACAGGTAATTTTCTGAAGGCATGATGTGGTAGTTTCCCTGAATAGGGGGACCCGGGACCCCAATATAGACCCAAAAATACTATAGTATAGTCCTTATTATGGGGACCCCCAAAATGGTACCCCTCATTTTGGTTTCCCATGTATCAGCAACAGACACGAAACCCGTGTGAGCGGAGCAGAGTTCTGACATTCACTCGGACAATGCCTCTCATATTTCACTCCCCCTTGCATAGTATGCTTCATATGAGCCATAGTCTAAACTCCTTAAAGGGGGTTATATCGGGGATCATATAGGGGACTATTATAGGGTCTATTAAGGGGGATACTAGGAGTTGAGACATAAAAAAGGTACCACGCATTTCGCATTAGCAAGCAGGGCATGGCACTTTGCGGAGATTCCTCCATATCCAGTACCAGGAGCCCTTGGAGCGATTACTTGAAGAGGCGGGGTGCCTTTCCTGTACCGCCTGCCAGTACCAGATCAAATGGGGATCACTAAACATCAAATCAGGATGAACAAGCAAAATGTTCTACTGGAGAGCTATCAGACGGAAAGTCATGTCCCGCCGCCAGAACAACAGGGCACAGGTAAGGATAACCCAAGGCAGACAGGAACAAAGGAAGGATGAATCAACGAACTATAGAGCAAAGGAGGAAGAGGATACGAAAGAAGGACGGAAAGAAGGAAGAAAGGAACGGAGGAATGAAGGAAGGAAGGAAGGAAAGTCGTCAATTTGTCGTCATGTTCCATCAATGTTTATGTCATCACCTTCTATGAAAGTCTGCACTTATTCAGCAGTATCATAATTTTTAGGACTTCTATTTGTTTCCATTGTTTCCCTGATTCTTCATCACATGTCACCACATCATCATCATCATCATCATGTCATTGGTTTGCCTCATTTGTTTCATTCTTTTCATGATTTTCAGCATTTGTCATACTGTTCATCATGCTTCTCCATTTCCATCATTTTCAAATGTTTTCATGATTTCCCGTATCTGTCCATGAAAAAATGTCGTTAAGCTTCAGCATGTCATTAATGTGATCACCTTTGGTCCCATGTCAGTTTCATCATATTCCATCATTTGAGCATTCTTCATCATAGTTTCCATCTTTTCCGCGGATGTGTTTGCATCATATTCAATGTTTGCAATATTCTCATCACGTATCATGAATTTTCATACCTTCAAATATCTTTCACAACTCCTCTTGATAGCTCATCACTAATCTGCCTGGCTTTCCATCATTTTCGTCCTCCTCCATAAAACATGAACTGTCTAGTAGTGAATCCTCATCAACAGCTGGCCTGTCCTCAATGGTCTGCAGAGCGGGGGGGTGCCCCCGCCACCTCTACTGCTTTTTTAAAAATGAGCCCCTATCATGTGTAGTAAGCAGCTGCCACTTCCCCCCCCCCCCTTGTTCAGCCATGAGCCATTACCAGGTCAAATAGTGAATCCTCATCAACTACAATGGTTGCCAGATGGAAATGGAGGGCTAGGCCTTGCCTGCTCATTTTAAGTATGAACCCGCATCACGTTTCGTAGAACCTTCATCAATCAATCATCGCCATATTCCTCAATGGCTTGCGAAATCACGGGCTTTGCCACCCCCACATTCCCTCGCTTTGATTTGTTGATCCTCATTTTGTTTGACGCCCGATTTTGATTTTTGATCCTCATTTGATTTCTGTTGATCCCCCACACCTTCCAGGAAAGTTTGGAACATGTCTTGCGACTGAAATCCTAGCAGCCCTGGCAAACAACTAGAATGTAGCTCACCTTCGGATTCTGGGGGAATCGCAGACTGTGGTAAAACGCAGGGTTCGTGGTGCAGTCCTTCTCCGCTGGCCAGGCAGCCGCAGAAAGCGGGCGCCTGTTTCGAGCTCGCCAAGCAGCCTCTCGGGGAGAAATGCAGAGACTACATTGGAAAAGCAACATTGGGGGTTGCATGGGTTTCACCAAAGTTGTAACTTTCTTCTGAGGGCCTGAGATTTAGGCAGCCCCGATGATGTAGAGCCAAGCACAGAGAGGGCTTTATGAGATTTAATGAGGGTATTGGTTAAACATTTTTGGAGTGAGCAGGGTTTTGGGGTCATTGGTTTTGTGGAGTTACTGCTGCCCGACTGTACATTGGTTGTCCTGAAGTGATCAGGCCTCTTTTTTTGTTGCAGCGTTTGCACACTTTTCACAGTGATGGTTTTCATGCCCTTCTTTGCACCAACTTTGGAAGCTGGTGGTAGGAAGCCTGTGGAAGTTTAACTCACTGGTCAA